TCTCACATCTCAGCCCTCCACTCCGACCAACAGCAACATTTCTACAACTTCTGAAGCCTTACCACCATCTGTCACCAACAAGACCCAACAGACTAACACAACGACTGAAAATACCACAGCAGTTCAACAGAGAAATGCATCACAAGGAACAACTCAGGAACTCAGGAACAACATGACAACTTCACTTGCAACAATTAACAGTACACAGTCCTCGACAGCACGGCCTGTCCTTGAAACAACCTCACAAAACATAACTGTGGCTGTCTCTGACAGTACAAAAGTACAGCAAACTGAATCTGATAACAAAAAATTGTTGACAACCACTGAAAATATAGTACTTCAAAACACAACGACAGCACAACAAAAGACAGAATTCATAACGTTATCGTCTGTCAACTCAACACAACCCAGCACCACAACTTCTGACAACCACCTAACATTACAAAACACAAAAACCACTCTGATTGATTCAACACTTAACACAACTACACTGTCTCCCAAACACACATCACTGTTCAATGTAACAACAGCAGATGCTTTTACACCTTCTCTCAGTGACAAAACAGCATTCAACATTACTATAGTTGACACAGGTACATCTTCTCCAAATTACACAGCAGTGTACAACATGACTACAGTCGGATCATTTACATCTTTTCCAAATGATGCAACACTCTTAAATGCAACTACAGTTACGCCTCCGAATGACACAACAGTGTACAACATAACTACAACTGGACCATTTACACGTTTTCCCAATGACACAACAGTGTACAACACAACTACAACCAGACCATTAACATCATCTCCCAATGACACAACTGCATACAATGTAACGACAACCGGACCATTAACAACATCTCCCAATGACACAACAGTGTACAATGTAACTACAACCAAACCATTTACACCTTCTCCCAATGACACAACTGCATACAATGTAACAACAACCGGACCATTAACAACCTCTCCCAATGACACAACAGTGTACATTGAAACTACAAGTGGACCATTAACACATTCTCCCAATGACTCAACAGTATACAACATAACTACAACTGGATCATTTACACTTTTTCCCAATGACACAACAGTGTACAATGTAACTACAACTGGACCATTTACACCTTTTTCCAATGACACAACAGTGTACAATGTAACTACAACCGGACCATTTACACCTTTTTCCAATAACACAACAGTGTACAACACAACTACAATTGGACCAATAACACCCTCTACCAATGACACAACAGTGTACAATGTAACAACAACCAGACCATTAACAACATCTCACAATGACACAACTGTGTACAATGTAACAAAAACCGGACCATTAACACCCTTTCCCAATGACACAACTGTGTACAATGTAACTATATCTGGACCATTAACATCATCTCACAATGACACAACAGTGTACAATGTAACTACAACCGGACCATTTACACCTTTTTCCAATGACACAACAGTGTATAATGTAACTTCAACTGGACCACTTACACCTTCTTCCAATAACACAACGGTGTACAACACAACTACAATTGGACCAATAGCACCCTCTACCAATGACACAACGGTGTACAATTTAACAACAACCGGACCATTAACAACATCTCACAATGACACAACTGTGTACAATGTAACTACAACCGGACCATTTACTCCTTTTTCCAATGACACAACTGTGTACAATGTAACTACAACCGGACCACTTACACCGTCTTCCAATAACAAAGCGGTGTACAACACAACTACAATTGGACCAATTACACCCTCTCCCAATGACACAACAGTGTACAATGTAACTACAACCAGACCGTTAACACCCTCTCCCAATGACACTACAGTGTATAATGTAACTACAACTGGAACGTTGACACCTTCTCCCAGTGACACAACAGTGTACAATGTAACTACAACCGGACCGTTTACTCCTTTTTCCAATGACACAACAGTGCACAATCTAACTACAACCGGACTACTTACACCTTTTTTCAATAACACAACGGTGTACAACACAACTACAATTGGACCAATTACGCCCTCTACCAATGACACAACAGTGTACAATGTAACTACAACTGGAACGTTAACACCTTCTCCCAATGACACAACTGTGTACAATGTATTGAAAGCCAGACCGTTAACACCCTCTCCCAATTACACAACAGTGTATAATGTAACTACAATTGGACAATTAGCAACCTCTCCCAATGACACAACAATGTACAATCTAACTACAACCGGACCATTTACACCCTTTCTAAATGACACAACAGTGCACAATTTAACCACAACTGGACCATCAACACCCTCTCCCAATTACACAACAGTGTACAATGTAACTTCAACTGGACCATTAACCCCCCTTCCCAATGATACAACGGTGTACAATCTAACTACAACTGGACTACTTACACCTTCTTCCAATGACACAACAGTGTATAATGTAACTACAATTGAACCATTAACAACCTCTCCCAATGACACAACAGTGTACAATGAAACGACAACCAGACCGTTAACACCCTCTCCCAATTACACAACAGTGTACAATGTAACTTCAAGTGGACCATTAACCCCCCTTCCCAATGACACAACGGTGTCCAATCTAACTACAACCGGACTACTTACACCTTCTTCCAATGACAGAACAGTGTATAATGTAACTACAACTGGAACGTTGACTCCTTCTCCCAATGACACAACTGTGTACAATGTATTGACAGCCAGACCGTTAACACCCTCTCCCAATTACACAACAGTGTACGATGTAACTTCAACTGGACCATTAACCCCCCTTCCCAATGACACAACGGTGTACAATCTAACTACAACCGGACTACTTACACCTTCTTCCAATAACACAACGGTGTACAACACAACTACAATTGGACCAATTACACCCTCTACCAATGACACAACAGTGTATAATGTAACTACAACTGGAACGTTGACACCTTCTCCCAATGACACAACTGGGTACAATGTAACAACAACCGGACCATTAACACCCTCTCCCAATAACACTACAGTGTACAATGTAACTACAACCAAATCATTTACACCCTCTCCCAATGACACAAAAGTGTATAATGTAACTACAACTGGAATGTTAACACCTTCTCCCAATGACACAACTGTGTACAATGTAATGACAACCAGACCGTTAACACCCTCTCCCAATGACACAACAGTGTATAATGTAACTACAATTGGACCGTTAACACCTTTTTCCAATGACACAACAGCCAATGACACAACAGTGTATAATGTAACTACAATTGGACCGTTAACACCTTTTTCCAATGACACAACAGTGTATAATGTAACTACAATTGGACAATTAGCAACCTCTCCCAATGACACAACAGTGTACAATCTAACTACAACTGGACCGTTAACACCTTCTCCCAATGACACAACAGTGTGTAATGTAACTACAACCGAACCATTTACACCCTTTCTAAATGACACAACAGTGCACAACGTAACCACAACTGGACCATCAACACTCTCTCCCAATTACACAATAGTGTACAATGTAACTTCAACTGGACCATTAACCCCCCTTCCCAATGACACAACAGTGTATAATGTAACAACACCCGGACCATTAACACCCTCTCCCAATAACACTACAGTTTACTATGTGACTACTGTTGCATCTTCTATTAATCACACAACAGTGTACAATGTAACTACAGCTGCCAACAAGAATGTACACAATGGCACAACTACAAGTAATGCTACGATAATCACATTTACACCTTCCAATTATACAACAACAAACAATGTAACTGCAGTCTCTAACAACTACACACAAGCAGAGAATGTAACAACTACTATTGTATCCTCAAACAACATACCCACTGCACAACAGAACACAACTACTCATTATAAAAACACAACTATGTCTACCGCAGCTTCACAAGGTAATGAAACTCGAAATATGACTTCTGCTGTCGACAACACCACTAAACCCACAGCTGCTCCAATGAAAAACCACAATACCACAGCAAGTGTGACTCACAGCATCACAACATCCATCAAATATGACACAAGCACCACCACACCTTCCAACAGCACTGCTTCCATTATCAATCACAATGAAACCACAGAAATCAACTTCAAGCTGAGTTCAACTGCAAGCAGTTTAACCACCAGTTTCAAGCTAACAACAAAAGAACTAGGAGTCAATTTAACAACTACAGCAGCAAATGCTTCCCATGAGCATATAGCCACAGCTTCAACCACAACCACCACTACTGCTACTACTAAACATGACCCACCTCCACCCCAGATTAACACCACTACTGGTGAGGTGTCCTCAGCTTCTACAACAACTCTCCAAACCATCACCCTCACCAGTGCAACCACGACCACAACAGTGCCTGGTATGTAAAGCTCAGAATTCAAAATTCTAATACTAGTCTGCCTGAAGCCACACAGGAAGGTTTTGTGGACCAAAATGACTGGACTAGCTTTCACTTTGGTTATCTATAGAGACAACGCAAAGTGAAGAGGCACAGGAAGAACAAGTAAATGAGCTGCTGGAGCAAACACAGAATACATCCCAGCTCAACTCGTCTCAGGTGAAGCTACTAGTTACTAATGCACTACTGGATAACTGTTAGCATAAAAACACACAACACAATGCTTTTTGTAAAGTAAAACTACTTCTTTGGCCTAAAAATGTGTGAAACTTATGTTTAAGAATAATAAATATCATCATTATCATTTAATTTGACATTCTCAAATGATTATACAGAAAAAGATAGTAAAAATAAATAAATATCTCCTCAAACCATTTAGTTTGATTGGGAAAAAATTGGAATCCTAATTGTCAGACTGTCACAACTAGCATTGAATAGTAGTAAAGTGATTTGTTTTCATTTAAATGTGTGTTCATCACTGAGGTATTGTAGCTGTCTCTTTGTTCGAGTGATAAATTTGTCATTTTGGAGGTAAGCTCTGTAATTTGGTGATTGTTACAGGTGGGGCAAATGGTGGGTCAGTTGGAGAACCTTCTGGATGGCCCCACTGTCTCTCAGGCAGTGGGACAAAAAGCTGTCAACATCATCAGCAACCTGATGGAGGGTGACTCAGTGGCCCTGACTGCATCTGCTAATAGGTAAAACTCACATGACCCTCACCTATATATATATATATATATATATATATACGTTTACACACATATGTGAGTTTTGCAAAATGTTTTGCCATCTTTCCCCTTGACAGGCTGATTCGAGTAGTGGATAATCTGGGTCTTAAACTGGTTGTCAATGGCGACAGAGGGATCCTCTCTTCAAATTCGTTGGTTCTGGCAGTCAGGACAGTGGATGGGACCAACTTTCCAGCAACATCTGTCAACATCTTCAACACCGATAACGTCCAGCACAGAATAAAATTCTACAAAAAGGTAGAAAGATTAATATCTGCGGCACAAATTTACCACCGGTAGCACATCTAAAGTTGACAAGGCTACACTTCAAAGTGTCTTCAAAAGCATCACACAACTATTGCAGTAACCATTTGTTAACCTTTTGTTTTTTTCCAGCTCCGTGCTCTCAGCAGGTCCCGGTCCAAGAGATCAGGTTCTGCTCTGGGGTCTGTATTCTTGCCTTCCAACCTCACTGCGGGACTTAGTCCTGAGCAGCAACAACAGGCGAGCAGGGTCCAATTCACTTTCTACACCAAAAGTGCCTTTTTCCAGGTACTATCCCATTGTCAGATCCAGATTTGTCTTCAGTCGTCGCTTAAAAATGTTTTACAGGATGTAGAAATATTTACTGGTGTTCATTTAATGATTTATAAGCAACTTTTCTCAATGAAGTCCAACATTTGCTTTTAAGAAAAGAATACAGTTATGACAAAAGATTATGTAATAAAATATTAATTACAGTGCAGGAATGTGCTTGTGCTTGTCTTTGCGCAGGATGCTACATTAGATAACAACACCCTTGTCAGTCCAGTTCTGGGCTCCAGTGTTGCCAATTTGTCAGTAAGCAACTTGACTGAGGACATTCAGTTTACCATCCGAAACATCAACCCAATACACGTGAGTGTGCACATTAAAATTAAGATTATTTTCATGAGCCCATTTATACAGAATAGAATCATGTCATAACTGAAATGCCACAAGAAATTGCCAGGATGAGACCAAAAGACTTAGCTGGTTTAGTATTCTCATAAAAAAACGCCTTCTGGACATGGATTGCATTATTTACTATTTATTATGAGGATCCCTGTTTACTAAGTCCATAGCAATAAACCAGTCTTCATAAATTATAAAGTTGTAACATTGTAAAGTCACAATGAGACTGTAATAACAATAAAACCTTTTGTCATTTATAAACATAATAAAATCTGGCATTTTTTCAGTGAACCTTTCAAAATAAAAGGTTAATTGTAAATTAGCTGCAAATAAATGAAAGGCATCCATTAAAATCAGCTGTAAAAGGTTACTCAGACTTTGCTCTTGGTTTGCAGGGGAACTTTGTGGCCTCCTGTGCTTTTTGGGACTTCACTCTGAATGGTGAGCACATGAATACCAAATCGAGCTGGTTGAGAGCCAAATTGCCACAGGTGTGAATATTCCTGTTTGTGGTGTTTCTGTTGTTTAGGTGATAGAGGAGGCTGGAGCGCTGCCGGCTGCTTTGTTGTCAATTCTACACCAGAAGAAACAACCTGCAGCTGCAACCATCTCACTTCATTTGCAATACTGCTGGTTAGTGTCCATGTGTCAATATAGATTATTTTTGAAATCAGAATTGTTGCATTTATTTATCAAATGAGGAAGTGAAATTAACAGCCTTAGTTTCAGGAGAAGTGACCTGACCTTGTTGTTGAAGAACAATTAAGAAACAGCCTACAGTTGTACAATATGTCTTCACTGTTTGTATATTTGTGTCTGTACCCTGTTCTCAATACAGGATTTGTCCAGAGGAGGAATAACTGACCATCAGCAGGCACAAGTTCTTACTTTCATCACCTACATCGGCTGTGGAATCTCTGCTATTTTTCTTGCCGTCACCTTACTGACATACCTTTCATTTGAGTAAGGATCCACCTCTTTACAAAGCCAAGATTACTTCAATCTGAGCTTCATCAGGCGCACGTAGCATTTTAAAGCTTACATACATTGAAAATTTAAAAAAAAAAACATTTCTATTCCCCGTAGTTTTAAAAAATAAATAAATAAAAAACTCTGTCTTTGCAGAAAACTGCTGCGAGATATTCCCGCCAAGATCCTGGTCCAGCTCTGCTTCTCCCTCCTCCTCCTCAACCTGGTCTTCTTACTGGACGGTTGGCTGGCGCTCTACCCGGCGATCGGGCTGTGCACCAGCACCGCCTTCTTCCTGCACTATTTCCTGCTGACATCATTCACCTGGGCCGGGCTGGAAGCCCTGCACATGTACCTGAGCATCATCCAGGTGTTCACTCCTTACCTGAGCAGATACATGCTCAAGTTCACACTGATTGGCTGGGGTAGGTACTTTAAACTTGAACTCCAAAATGCTTAAGTTATAGGAAGGCAATATATAATCTTAATGCACTTCTAAAATTTGGTTTTGAAACACATATTTCTATTTATTGGTTTGTGCAGGTATTCCTCTTCTTGTGGTGATCATTACCTTATCGGTAGACAAAGACAACTATGGTGTGGTTACATATGGAAAATACACAAATGGCACTTCAGATGACTTGTAAGTTACATTTAAATCTTAACTACCTTTATGTGAATACGGTTGTTTGATTTTTTCTGTTTTATTTTTCTTTCGTTTAAATGTTCTCCTAACCAGACTATAATAGAGAAAGTAATGCAAATCTTTCCATGTAACACACTCCTGTACGTCTCCCTCTGTAGCTGTTGGCTGCGTAATAACGTCGCCTTCTACGTGGGCGTGGTGGCCTACTTCCTCCTGATCCTTGTTCTGTGCCTGCTGGTCTTCATCGTCGTTATGGTCCAGCTGGCCCGGATCAAGAGGCAGAACCCTCAGAACCAGTCTCCTAACCGGGGATTGATGACTGACCTGCGCAGCATCGCCGGCCTCTCCATCCTGCTCGGTCTCACCTGGGGGTTCGCCCTGTTCGCCTGGGGACCGCTCTACTTACCCTTTGTTTACCTTTTCTCCATATTCAACTCTCTGCAAGGTGAGACCTGTGTGATTCTGCATCACAATCTGCATGATAAATGTGTCCAAAATGCTATTATTTTACCGTTGAACTTGTTCTGTATAGGTTTCCTTGTCTTTGTTTTCCACTGTGCTGTGAAAGAGAACGTCCGCAGGCAGTGGAGGACGTATCTCTGCTGTGGGAGACTGCGACTGCCTGAAAACTCAGGTGGGCACCTTAATGTCCTTTTATACCTCGGATAAAGTAATTGGACACATTAGGGCCTGGGGTTTTCAAACTGCGAGCCAGATATACTGCATGAGGTGAAAGGTACTGGTACACGCCGGTGTTTTTAAAAGCAGCTTATTGTAGTTTGGCCTGCTGATTTGGCCCCAGTATTGACGCGGTCAGCAGTTGGAGCGGGTGCAGAGACCGTGACTGCTCATGGATTCAGGGAAGGTACTTTACAGCACTTAGTGCCTGATTGCCCACCAATTTGCATCAGACATTGAACTTTTGACTTTTCTGAGTCATAACTTTGTCAAATCTGAACACGTAGATATGATGCACATAATTTTAGATTCAGTGTCACTCACATTTTCCGATGATGTAATTATCTTTAATGTCCTTCGGCAGTAAGCGTCCATGAATCAGCATAGATGTCATAGAAAATAAAGATGCTCTTTATATCTTCAGAACTTGCTTGAGAATCATCACATTTTTATGTTTTCCTCAGTATCAAAGTAAACCAATGATAGTTGCCTGTACATTATAAAGAGGAACTGCTAATAGCTAATTCAGCGTACATTTAGTGGCGCTAATTTGCCGAAATGTAAACACATAAATGTTGCTCAAGTTGCAGCCACTTAGTGTCACTCACTAACTCTCCCAAAGCATTATGGGAAATGTAGTTCCAGAACTTAAAGGACAAGTCAGACAAAGAAATGAATCCATTAATATTAACTGTTAATTGATATTGATATCAATGGATGTCAATGTGAATATCATCCCATCGATAAATCTGCCTTGGTTATACATGTTTCTGCAGATTGGAGTCGAACGGCCACCCAGAACAACAGGAATCTGTCGGTCACCGCGCCGAACGCCGCTCGGCCCTTAACCTCTCGCAGCTCCTCCGTCATCAGCGATGGCACCAACAGCAGTGGTATTTTTACAGTGTTTGAGTTTGCACTTTTATACAATTGATACATGCTCACATACACACAGACAACGCTACTATTGATGTGTTACTGTGTTCATCCCCCACAGGCTCTGTGTTTGCAGACAGCGGAATATCAGAGGGATACAACAGCGACGTCGTCCTCAACGAGCTCCACAGACGAACTCTGTCACCACAAGGCGAGGCCTGACAACTGTGTCAAGCGTTCATTTGTGATGACAGTAATTATCTACTCGAAGAGGGCCGAGATGACAGACAGAGATTAGCACTCTCCTGCAGATGGAGTAAACAAAAACGCAGTAATCACAGGAGTGGTTCCTCACGGGGTTCAAAGAAATCACAAGATGATGAAAGGATGGACAGGAACAGGAGAGGTGAGACTGAAGGTCCTGTAGTGAAAAGTGTTACTTGACACCATTTCTACATTGACAGTAGAATATATGAAGTGGTAAATGTACAGTAGGTGTATTTCTGACTGAACACATGAATCATTTCACAGTTACAGCTGCGACTTTCAGCAGACTGTCAAGTTTATTTCAAAGCTCTTAGAATTATTACTGTAAACATTAAGTATGATATTAACATTATTTTCAGTCTGCAAGAAAGGTTGTGTATGTACATGTTAAAAATACAAAGTTGCATTTCATTAGGAGCCTAGATCAGACTGTCAACATTGTGAAGCTATTTTGCAATTTTTTTTTTTTTTTTGGGTGGATTTCTCTTCTTTCTGAACATAAATAGGAGAAAAGAAGATATTTACAGTGTTCTTTTTCTGATGCTGCATGGACTTACCTTTTTACATTTTCAATAAAGAGTCAATTTCGCACTTTGAAAGGATTCTCCAGCTTTTAATAGGGGCAAAATGGATTGAAGGAAAATGTGCCAATATTAACAAAGTGATCAGAATTTGATCTTAACAAGAGTATTTGAGGATCTAATCCTCCTTTAATATGAGATACTGCTTTATTTTGCTACAGCACAGTGTTGATGTTAGAGTCATGAGATGTTTATGGTCATGCAGCGTGAAGAGTGAGGATTTTCCTGTACAGGTTTTACTAAATGTCCTTGTGGAAGGACATGTGCATGCCATGAAAGAGAAGATAATAAACCTTCAACTTATTACCTGTCCAGTTTGTCTTTTGTCTTTTTTTTTTTTTTTGAGTCAGAAAGTTTCACATCTGCATGACATCTTTACATCTTTTATCAAACCTGTTCAACAGGGGAAAAAAACCCACCAATAATTACAATCCCGACAGACTTCCCCTCTCATCACAGTGCTGTGTCACCTCCAGCAGAGCATCTCGCCGCCCAGCGCCGGTTAGATCACAGCCTGTGAAGGTCGGCCGCTGAGGTTGGCAACAGTTAACTATAAAAAGTTTTACACGAGTTCAAATCTCAGAACAATGTGACTTCTAATGGGAAGCAAATAGGAGAGCACGTTGCGAGAGACTGATGTTATGTTTTTTATATACATATTTTATATATATGTATATATATTTGTGCTAAGTAGTTACAGCCGCTGATTTATTATGTTGGGTGTCAGCATTACAGGCATCTAACACAACTGGTCTTGTGTGTGAACAGTAACTTGGCTTTAATAACTGACTGCTGCAAACTCCAAGTGCAAGTGCAACCATCTTCCACTAGATGTCAGTGTAATCCCACATCACAGCAACTCCTACTCACACAGGGAAAGAAGACTGAGCACTCACCGTTCACATGACTGCTAACATGAACACCTATTATTTACCCAGCACCTCCCTGTTCTTCTGGCCGCTGCAGCAATTTCATGTTTGGTTATAAATAAGGGAATCATCAACACTGAAGAATGACTTTTTAACTCGGAAAAAACTCCCCCACTTCCGATCCTGTTTCTCTGAATTTGTGGTTCTCGCCACATCATGTGAAACAATAGAACTGCAAAACAACTGACTTGCATAATCATTAAATCCCAATTTCCTTGTAGATTATTCATATATGCATAACAATCCCTTTTTTGTCTCTGCTGTGATTCTGTCGGATTCAATATCCCGACTTCCTGACAAGCAGCATGGATGCGGGATAAATCTATGTCTGGTTCACTTGACTAATTTGCTGGCAGATTTTGCTAATCACACATCACTCAAAGGCGGGAACTTTTTTTTTTCCTCGTCTGGAGTTTTAATTAGATTTAAAGGTTAACTTTTAGTGCAGCTGTGTCAGAGCGGCCTGCATGCTTTCACAGCCTCACTAATGGCTGACAAGGGGGGGAGGGGTTAAAGAGGGGAGAAAAAAAAATAGACACATGCATCAAAATCGATTAACATTTCACTTCTAAATGGACGTTTTACGACTCGTCTCAGGGCGTGGGACAAACACACATAAATAAATTCCTTTTCTTTAAGTTCATTTACAAAGGATTGACCTGCTTCACCTTGCTGTGACAGAGAAATTCATGCTCTATTCTCTATCATCGCAGGCCATCAATATTTAATCCAGGTCAAATGAAAGGTCTGTGCCTCTCTGGGGGGGTCGCTTCCTCGGCTTAACATCCGAGCAGCAGTTTCATCCGAATCCAGCAGCTTTTCAATTTGTTTAAAGAAAGGTGTTTACAGATGTGAAGAAGCTGCAAGGGCCCCCCCCCCCCCCATGCATGCAGTTGAGTTGCTTGTATAGTTTTAAAGTTTAAGAGCACACAGGCAGCCTGCTTGTAGTTACAGCTGAAGAGTGCATCGATCATCGGCACCTCGGCAGCTGTTCGTTGTTGAGCGTTGGCTCATTCGATCACTAACTCTCCACTTTGATTTTCCAGCTGTCTGAAGACTTCACTCCTCAAGAAAAACCGCACTCCGAATCCCAGGCTGCTGCAACTGAGGGAAACATCCCAAAGCAAAAGAGGGAGAAACAAGCTCCACTCATACAGACATTCTTGCAATTCCTGCACCGAAAATTTCCGTTTAGAGAAATGCACTGTGGGATAGATTGTAACTCCGGATGTTGGAAAGTGTGCTATCAGTTCACTTTACCTATAACATTTAGAACTTTTATCATATTACTTTTCATATGTCAGGATAACTAATTCTGAGATATTGCAGTATGCGGTCTGCAAACTTACATCACTCAGCTCACTCGACACAGAGACGAGTAAAATGAGATATTACTGGTATTCTGCCTCTATACCAAATATATAAATGATAGAGACCTTCTTGGTAGTATTGGATAGTAGATTAGTACGGTGGCCCTGAGAGCTCAATGCACTGCAACCTAAGAAAACACATGCAAACAGACAAAACACAAACAAATTCAGACAAACATCATCAACTGGACACACAAGACATGCACTGCAAATGCACACAGCACAACCAAATCCAGAAACACGCCACAAGTAGCACAGAGGACAACAGGAGCGTTTCCAGGGGACACAAAAAAAAGAGTGATGAACACGACTGGGATGCACTTGTTGTTCAATGCTCTCTGACTTTTGTTTTCATTTTCATTTCATTTCATTGCACCTTTTATCCAAGAAACGCAGCTCAAAGTGCTTCACAACAAAGAAATCACATGCACCAAGTGGTTCACGTGAAAGAAATTTAAATGAACATAAAAAACATGTCAAAAATATAAATAAATAAAAATAAGTTAAAGATAGAAAACATAGAATGCATAAAAACAAGTAAGAAATGTTTTCTTTAAGCTCTCCAGGTTGTGAAAATGATGAGTGACCCTACAGTATTGTTTTTGTTTCTCTCCCGTCCGTGACTTATTCGTCATAAATGTGGCGGTACTATAATAAAAGTATAGTGTCTGAATCACTGGCTGAGGAACAATCTGTGTTAACTTATGCGGCAACGGAGGGCAGTAAAACACAAGGAATCTGAGCTCCGGCACCAGCAGCTCTCACTACTCTGTGAGTCACCTTGTGTTTATGAGTGTCTGCCCAGAAACATCTTTATTTGATATTAATTTGATAAACATATCAAAGAGCTTAATTCCTGAACTTTCTGTGCTCTGATAAATTTTGATGAACACGTCGATGATGTTCATATACCATCAATCAGACACCATTTCATCTTTTAATAAAAAAAAAGCTGTAAACCATAATCCAGCCTGCACAGAGGGTTGTTTTGTTTGAAACCAAACAGAATGGCTAATATCGTGTGTGCTCCCCGGCATCAGCAGAAATAAAAGTCTCCTCTGGGAACCATCAGATCAATGAGGCAAACCTCTCAATCAAATGTTGATTGAAGGGAGTCACTGAATCAGCAGGATCTTTATTGTTTGGCAAATTGGGAATTTAAAGTCATGCTCATGAGCTTATTGTCCTCCAGCTATGACAGGCCTTTGAAATTCACAGAGAGGTAAAATGTGTGTTTGCATGTATTAAGTTGCTCAATGTGATGAACCAGTCCGGGCAGCTAGAAAATCAAGAAAGGGAAGGAATAAACGCTGAGCTGAACATGAGCACCGGTGGACACTGTCATTGTTCCATTTTTCTCTGTGGTATGAATAAGAGCGCACTCACATAACTGAGAGTACTTTCAACATATCTGGACATCCACATCCCAGACAATGTGGTGTAAAAAGAAGGAGTACAAAGAGGCAGACAGGAGAGGCAGAGAAACACGGTTACACAATACATTACCTGGAACCAGAGGAAGTCTTATTCAATACCTTTTTTTCCAGCTTGCTTCAGAGAAGGGAGGATGGTATTCTTGTTTTTGTTTTCTCTTCTTGAATCATGAAAAATGTATTGTTAATAACCTGATGTGACCAGAGCAAGACAGACAGATAGTGGTGTGTGTGTGTGTGTGTGTGTGTGTGTGTGTGTGTGTGTGTGTGTGTGTGTGTGTGTGTGTGTGTGTGTGTGTGTGTGTCTGCTGCAGCAACCAGAGGACGCCTCCGTCCACGATTATTTTGTGGCTCTAACAGGAAATCATTGGTGTTTTATTGATTAAAATAACACAATCGGTGCCCGTCCCCTGAGCATCAATGACATCTGTAGAGCTGAGTCCAAAGGATACTAAAACAGCACCGAGCCCAGCCCCAGCCTGTTCACCCTGCTGCAGCCGCCGCCGCAGCACCAGACTTCAGAGCACTTCCTTCCCTCAGGCTGCAAGACGACTGAATTCATAGCCCACACTCCACCATGACAATACTTTTACTTTAATGACTTGATTATTTAATCATTTATTTGTATAACTTTTGTTTTTGGGTTTCTTTTTGTGAGTAGAATAAATTGACTACATCTGGAATTCTGTGTGTTGCATTATGATAATTAAATTTAATCATTAATTCTTTGAATATCATTCATAGCACAAGATCTCAGAAAAAAACACTTCACATTTTACTTACACACTTTTACTTGTTTTATTTTAAATGCAGAACTTGTACTGG